GGTCTGTGAATATCTCGCAGTGTTCGCCGTAAAGATATTGACGCCAAATCTTCAGGACGTGAACGACTGCGACTAACTCTAAGTCGTGCGTAGGATAATTCTGCTTATGAGGATTAAGCTGACGTGAAGCATACGCAACGACTTCTTCTGCATCGGGACACATCCCAAGCCCTGTCTCGAAGCATCGTTAAAGATAGTGAAACTCCGAGAAGGATCGGGAATAATCAACGCTGGTGCTCAAGTTAATCTCCTCTTGAGCTCCTCGAAAATAGTAAACTGGAATGTACAAGCTTAACTTAAAGCTTATACTTACTGATTGCATGACTAGAGAATTCAGTAATTTAATACTGAATAAAAGACTTGATTTAAGCTGATAATACATCAATTCACAATTAAGTGAATTGTAGAATGCTGTTGACTGAAAATGGACACTTTTCTGAAATAAAGTGTTTTACTGACAAGACCTGATTTCAAAACGAAACTCTGAATATGTTGGTCATCCTCTCCTGGCTGCTGGCGGATCTCCAATCGGAAGGCAGGTGGTGAAGACTCTCTTCGCAATCTCCCCGTGTACTGAGACTCAGACATGGCATCCTTCAATAGGAAGCATCGGTTATCATCATGGCACGATCCGTTGTTGTCAATTGGCTCTTCTCCACTGCGGCGCTTGTCAACCTGCAATACCTGCAACTTTTTACTCCCTCCGAGGTTATACTTAACCTCAAGAAGAAGTCCCTCATGACTTAATATCTCCCACGATTTCTCAGATTCTTCAAAATTTGAGAATCAAGGCGCTGATATACTGAAAATGGTGGACAAGTCTTGTCTTACCAGACAGACTATCCTCGATCTTATCATGACTGACCTGAATACTCTCATAGCTGAAAAACCATGACTTAACTCTCATATGGCTGAATCATCTATGATCGAACTCTGAAAACTATCTCGATACAACTTAAATAGTCGTTTCGGGACTGAAAACATGATATTTACTGACTTACTTGACTTAATAAGGTACGACTTCAAGTTTCCAGGTAAATCTGAACTGATGGTCTGTATATCAGACCGTTACCTTTTACCCGGCTGAACAACTATTATACGTCGACCTTATATCATGAACATAACTGAAAATCATGAATCTGAACTCTGTACTATATTGGGCTGCTCCAGTATCAACTGGTCCCGCAAGTACAAAGTAATTAGCTGATCTTGACTTCTGAAAGTCATAACTTAGAATAGCATGACTGATAAAATATCTGACATGACTGACTTGAAAGGTTGTTATTATCTGAAATCTTACTGATTCGGCCCCAGTTCAAGCCTCCATGGTATACCCGGCTGAGTGGCTCTTATTTCAAGCCTCCATGGTAACCCGGACTATTGACTCTTATACACTGGAAACCGTTACTTTAATGATGACTTGAGAACTATAACAACCTTTAACATGAACATTCTTGCTTTGAACAGGACTTACTGTTCTGACTTAGGAACTTTGAGTCTATTCCTCGATTTAAATCAAGGAATTTCTCCCTGAGGTCTGCCAATTGATTGACAAAATGGCAGTTCTTGATAAAATATCTGAGAAACATGATTCTTAAGATTTGTTTGGCACAAGTGCTTACAAATCTTCTGACAAGTTGCTAACTTGACTCGAATAAATCTAGAATTGAATCTGGAGTTCTTAAACTCAATCCTTTTCTATGAAAGGATTATGAATTCACTTGCCCCTGATACGGGGATTTCTTCGGCCGAAGAATTTCTCAATATGATAGTCGCGGAACTGTGCGACTACTGTGACTTGAATAAAAACTGAGTGATCGGGATCCCTACAGGACTGTATCTGAACATCAGGAAAAAGATTTAACATTACTGGATAAGCGATAGCATTACTGTCTGATTACTAAGGCATACAGATCTCTTGACGAGTTGCCAAAATTGGCCTGATAATTACTGACTGAAAACTGAAGAACTCTAGAGTCATCTCGGAAAATTCTAACATCTAGAGTCATATCTGAATGCCTGAATTCTAGAGTCATGTCCAACCTCTAGAGTCTGAATCTGGTTCGAGCATCTTAACTAAAGTTCTGAACCTCAATTCTGAGCATAGACAAAGTAATATGTTTATAATAACTGAAAACTGAATTGCAACAGCACTTACCTATTGTCGGCGGGGCGTGAACATGACGGTTCGGTTTTTACTGAAAAATTTCGGA